ATTGTGAGGGCAGTGGCTCATGCCCTGCTCGCAATATCAATGAGCCACCCAACGGAGAGGTTGAGTCAACAGCTGCACACACTGGTCTAGGGACCAGAAGACAGGCCTAAGACTAAATACAGCGCAGATCTAAGCACCACACATGGCCATGGGGCAGGGGTGAAGAGTGCTTTCCTCTCCTGCTAACTTTTTCAAATTGATTGCTAATGAGCTAAGAAATCTACTCCCAGAATCTCTTACTCGAGTAAGAAGAACAGGTAAAAGTTACTATACAAGAACAAACAAAGGGCTTCTCCCAAATATTTTATTTTGTTGTTTTATAGGGAAGTGTGAATAGCCAAGACACCCTTAAAGAACAAGTAGAGATTTGCCCAACCAGATATCAAAACTTGTTATAGAGCAATAGTAACTAAGAGTCTTACATAGGCCCAAAAGTCCCTGCGTAGCACAAACGGTTTCCACTTGACCATTGATCTAACATTTGGTGGTTCAAACCTACCCAGTGAGACACTGTGGAAGAAAGGCCTGGCAATCTGTTTCTGTAAAGATTACAGTCAAGAAAACTCTATGGAGCACTTCTACTCTGTAACACACGAGGTCGCCATGAGTCAGAATCCACTCGATGGCAATGGGTTTGGTTCTGGTTTTTTATACAGATCCAGGGATACACAAACAGATAATGGAACTAAATAAGGAACCCAGAAATGGAACCATGCATACATGAAAACTTGATATCTGAGCTGGCGGTGCACAGCAGTGAGGAAAGAAGGGATGATTTAGCGTATCCTTATACGAAAGAAAGTGAAATCATACCCCTACCACCTCATAGTATACACAAAAATCAATTTAGGATAAAGATCTAAATGCCATAAAACATTTTAGAAGACAATACAATCAAATAATGACTTCGGGGTATGACGAATTTCTGAAACAAGGTACAAAAAGCACAAACCAAAAGAAAAAAAATTCACCTACGCTAAAATGTAGACTTCCGCTCAGTAACGACAACGTTAAGACTGTGAAAAGGCTATGAACTGGGAAAAGACAGTTGCAGCCTATAATTAACCAAGGAGAATATGTAAATAATTCCTATAAATCAATAAGATAAAGAAAAACAGCACAGTCTTGCAATATTTTGTTACTTGTATATGTCATTTTTGCAAACAAACAGAGGCAAGCATACTACACAGGAGAAGAGCAAACCAGCCAGTAATGCACTACGGGCACAGCAGGGGAAGTGGGCGTTATTCTATCTGGTGAGTAAGGACACAGTGCTGACAACCTCTTTGGAAAACAATGTGTCAATATCCATCAAATAAAAAAAAAGATTGCATCCCTTTGATTTGGCAATTGCACTTCTAGGAATTATCCAGAAGATAAACTCACATATGTAAAAAGATGTATCATCAAGGATATTTCTGTGAGATTTTCTAGTAGCAGAAAACTGAAAACAATTGAAATATCCAACAGTAGGTGACTAGGTTAAATAAATTCTGTCACATGCATAAAATGGAATCTAACAGATTATTATGCTGATAAGGAACGATCACTAAGCTGAACTGTTATGTGAAAAAAAGCAAATTGTAGACCAGAACACTAAAAAGGGGCAGCAACCTAGAAGGTGGAGGATGGAAAAAACGTGCCAGCCTAGCTGCAGAGTGTCTCTGCAGGAATACTAAAGAAACAAAAAAGTGGCTGCCTCCAAGAAGGGGACTAAGGGCCTGGGGCTAGAAAGCAGGTATTTCCTCTTCACTGAACCACCTCTGGACCCCTAGTGGCCCAGTGGTTAAGCATTTGACTGCTAACCAAAAATCAGCAGTTCTAATCCACCAGCTGCTCCTTGGAAACACAATGGGGTTTTACTCTGTCCTACAGGGTTGCTATGAGTTGGAATCGATGCGACAGCAACGGGCTTGCTTTTTAGGTTTGAACCGTCTCTAGCACCTTTCATTTTGTTTTTAACCAGATACGTAGGTATTACTTTCTCAAAAAATAAAATCTCCTGTTGAGAGAATTCAGTCATTCTCAAAAACAACCAAAACAAGAGAATGGCTAAACAATGCTAGTATATTCATACTGATAAATACTTAATTGTGGTGATGGATATCCAACTCTGTGAACATTCTAAAAGTCTGCGATTATATGAAACATTCAACTTTTTGAATATACTAAAATTAAAACTGTATACTTTAAATGGGTGATTTGTATGCAAATTATATCTCAGTGAAAATAAACAAATATATATAAACATAAATGTAAATAAATAAATATATATAAACATAAATGTAAATAAATAAATATATATAGAAAATGATTTGGCAACTGTGGTCCTCAGCTGATTTTGTAAAGAAATTATTATTAGAACATAGGCATACCCATTTGTTTACATGTTATCTATAGCTCCTAAAGACTGAAATATTTACTATTTGGCTTTTTACAAAAAACATTTACCAATCCTTGATATAAAAGAATCTTTAAGTTATATAGTTGTGTAAAACCCACAAGCTGCAGGATAATAGTCAGCGAAATATCATTTATGTTCAGAACACACACACAACACAGTATCACATATCTGCTTAGAGTACACGTAACAGTAACAGGAAATGCTCTAGAAAGATAAACACCAAAATCATACCCATGGTTACTTTCGGGCAGGATCAGGCAGACCAGAATTGGGGGTTAATCAAAGGGGACTATGGCTTTGTCTTTTTTTTTGTTTTTTGGAGGATTTCTTTTGCTTCTAAGGAGATAAGATCACGTATCCTAAGGAAGTGAACTTTTTTTTCTAAATTAATTCTTTTTAGAAGTGAGGCTAGCACACAACTATTGGTCTCTGTTCATCTGGAAAAAAAAAAGAGAAAGAAGGAAACCCAAGAATCAGAGAAGGAACTGGACTATAGGACTAAGTGTCTACATGAACCACTGCCTCCTCTACCTTGAGACCAGAAGAACTAGATGGTACCCAGCTACCACATCCAAACGTTCTGATTAGGGACACAATAGATGGATCCTAATAAAAAGGGAGAAAAATGTGGAACAAAACTTTAAATTCCTAAAGAATCCAGACTTAGAGTACCTACTGAGATTGCAGGAGTCCCCAAGACTATGGTCCTGAGTTACTCTTCAAACCTTGAATTGAAACCATCCCCTGAAGTCAGCTTTAAACCAAGTAACAATTTAGCTCAAAAAGTAAGGATTGTCACCCTTGGGTACTGCATTTAAAAAAAAAAAAATCATCTATGTAAGACCAAAGGAACAACAGCTATTTTTAAAGCATAGATGAGAAGGTTGTGGGGCAAGAAGTTTAAGTTAATGGGAATGAAGCAACGAGAACAGAAATAAGGAGAATGCTGGCAAAATATGAATAATGTAACCAATGTCACTGATAATTAGGTCTAGTAACTGTTCAATGGAAGCGGGTTTTACTGTGTATATTTTTCACCAAAAATAAAATATTACTAAAAAAAAAAAGTGAGACTGGCAGAAGGGAAAAGGGACAGGACTAGTGGATAAAAAATTGCATGTTCTGAAATTGGTAGTAGTTGCACGAAGCATTGCCGGAATTTTAAGTGTTATGATTCTACATCCACCTTTTCGTTTTCTCAGATCTTTTCTTGGCATTCCTCTTACACTTCTCTTTCATTAACTTCAGAAAACTGGGGTTGACGATAGCGGGTGTTTTAGGGAGAAAGAAGGCATGAGCAAGAGTGGCAGGGAAGGATAAAAGACAGCTACAAAGAAGGGACAGCCCAGTGGATGGCTGTGGTGTTAACAGTCAATTATTCCTGGCATGTAATTCCCATTTTGGGGCTGGCCCTGGGACATCTGCCTAATCTTGGTCTCAGGCCCAGCACCATCCTGCAATTAGTTCATGGTCACATCCATAGTATTCATATGTCTACACAATTCGTATGACCCTCGTGAGAGCTGCAGAATACCTAATATTTTACGTATTTTAGGATGCAAGTAAGTTTGTCTATTCTTATAACAAAGTGTACCCTAGAAGTGAAAATGAATTACTATTAATGAGCAAATCAGGACCTAGCACATGTAGAAGCTGCTTTACATCATGATTATAAAGAAAATGTGGGTATAATAAAGTAAGTCGAAATTCAGCTAGGAGAAAAAGTAAATTCATGTAGGACAAATTATAATTTAAAAATTTTTATGAGAATAGAGAGTTTTTCTAAGCAAAAACAAAATATCAAAGAATGGTTTGGTTAGCATCTCTCTCTCTCTCCCTATCTATCTATCTATATGGAAACGCTGGTGGCGCAGTGGTTAAGAGCTACAGCTGCTAACCAAAAGGTCAGCTGTTCGAATCCATCAGCCTCTCCTTAGAAACCCTATGAGGCAGTTCTACTCCGTCCCATAGGGTTGCTATGAGTCGGAATCGAGTCGATGGCAATGGGTGTATAATACGTATATATACATACACACAAAATTAGACCTCAGATGACCAATCTTTTTGTATGATACCTAGAAACTATGTACGATTCTAGAAAAAGGTTAGTGCTCTAAAATAACAATAAAAGAAAGCATCAGCGAAAAGATGTAAATTCAAATAATAGGGTATTATTAGGGTCATGATGTTTAAAGGGACTAGGTCCGTCTGCTCGAGAAATTATCAACAAGGAAAACTTGTGCCATTCTTCAACTGTGGGCACCCCAGTGACTTCTGCTTTTGAATCAAAACCAACTAGACAAATCTAAGAAGGGTGGATTAGTTGGGATAAGGGGGGAAACCTGGCTGTATATTAATTACAGTGGCAGGAAAAAAAAAAAAACATTCACCGAACTGATCTTTTAAACAATCTAGTTTAAAATAAAACTCAAGGTAATTATAACAAGTCTTCACAAGAGAGAATCAAATGTTGAGTATTAATGAAAGAGAAGCATTAAAAATTGTATCCACACACATACATACATACATTTTAAACTAAATATAATTTCATTTTAAGTTTCTACTTGGGAAAAGGGTTTGCTTCTAGTGAACTCACCTCCGTGTTCTAGAAATACTCGGACACACCTCTCTTTTCCTCTTGCTGCAGAGAAATGAAGCAGGGTCCAGCCATTAGCGTCTCGGCCATTTGGAGAATAGCCTTGCTCTAACATCTTTCGTACGGTGTGAACATCCCCTGCAGCCACCGCAGCCTGAATCTGCAATTCTTCCTGGAGTTCAGGGTTCCTCCGACAATGGTGGTGTAACATCCTAGCTGAGTCCACTTTTCACCAAGAATTCATTAGGTCACAGGGATCAACCTTTAAGGGTAAAATGCATGAAATTTAGAATAACTGGCACCTGTGTCCATTAAATAACAAAGAATTTTCCACTGCTAAATTACACAAACTTTAGTAATAATAGTTCATACTACCACTAATTAATAAACATATATATGTTCAGATCAAAACTTTCAGCAATTTCCCTAAGATTATAAAGAATTTCAAAAAGAAACCCAAGCTTAAATCTCTAAACTCCAAAAATGAAATTTCTCTTGCGGCCTTCTAAAAAACCCAAAGCAAAAAACATATGAATATAACACCATTATTTTAAATAAAATGGGGGTGATGCTAGGCAGCAAAAAGATGAAGTAAACAGAAGAGTCAGATGAGTACCCATCTTAGAAGTTCTGGTTTAACTGATGCACCACTAAGGAGATTAAAGTAATATGCCATTCAAGGGTTCTATCGTTGATCTGAGTTAGTAAATACGGAGTATCAAATTGACAATTTATAGACTGTGAAGACTGACCAGTTACTGTCAAGTCAATTCTGACTCATGGTGACCCTATGTGTTTCAGAGTAGAACTGTGCTCATAGGGTTTTCAAAGGTTGTGACCTTTCAGAAGTACATCACCAGGTCTTTCTTCTGACGTGCCTCTGGGTGGGTTTGAACCACCAACCTTTCAGTTAGTAGTAGCTAAGCGCTCAACCATTTGTACCACTCAGAGACTCCTAAAGACCCTTAATTAAGAGAAGTACTTTAAAAAAAAAGCAAACCCCTTTATGCTCATTCCTAAAGTATTTCAACTATATGTTACTTATTTTCAGTCCAAAGGGTGGACGGTTTGAGGGGTAGAGAGGGGGAAGGGAGTGGGAGGGGATAAGTAAATTACAGTAAAATGTTTAGATTACATTTAACTTTCTTTTTGCTTACTTCTGCTCCGCTTTGTATCCTCCCCCCTTTGTCATCTGATGCCACATCCTCTTCTACACTTTCCCAATTTGTTTTTCAGATTTACTCTATATTCAAAGTTGTTAGGTGCCGTCAAGTCGACTCCGACTCATGGTGACCCTATGTATAACAGAACAAAACACTGCCTGGTCCTGTGCCATCCTCACAATCTTTGCTATGTTTGAGCACACTGTTACAGTTACTGTGTCAATCCATCTCGTTGAGGGTCTTCCTCTTTTCACTGAACCTCCGCTTTGCCAAGTATGATGTCCTTCTCCAGGGACTGCTCCCTTCTGATAACACATGCAAAGTATGCAACACAAAGTCTCACCATCCTCGCTTCTGAGGAGAATTCTAGCAGTGCTTCTTCCAAGGCAGATTTGTTCGTTCTTCTGGCAGACCATGTTATATTAAATATTCTTTGCCAACACCATAATTCAAAGGCATCAATTCTGCTTCTGTCTTCTTTATTCATTTTCTAGCTTTCAAATGCATATGAGGTGACTGAAAATACCATGGCTTGGGTCAGGAGCACCTTAGTCCTCAAAGTGAGATCCTTGCTTTTCAACATTTTAAAGAGGTCTTTCGCAGCAGATGTGCCCATCACAATACATTGGCTGATTTCTTGACTGCTGCTTCCATGAGTGTTGATAATCTAAGTAAAATGAAATCCTTTACAACTTCAATCTCTTCTCCGGTTGTCATGATGTTGCTTATTGGTCCAGTTGTGCAGATTTTGGTTTTCTTTATGTTGAGGTGCAATCCATACTGAAGCTTGTAGTCTTTGATCTTCATCAGTAAGAGCTTCAAGTCCTCTTCACTTTCAGCAAGCAAGGTTGTGTCATCTGCATACTGCAGGTTGTTAATGTATCTTCCTCCAATCCTGTGTTGTGTTCTTCTTCGTATACTCCAGCTTCTCAGATTATTTGCTCAGCATACAAATTGGACAAGTATGGTGAAAGGACACAACCCTGACACCTTTTCTGACTTTGAACCACGCAGGATCCCCTTATTCTGTCTGAAAGACTGTCTCTTGGTCTATGTATGGGGTCCTCATGAGCACAATTAACTTTTCCGGAATTCTCATTCTTCGCAATGTTATCCATAATTTGTTACGATCCACACAGTCGAATGTCTCTGCATAGTCAATTAAACACAGGTAAACATTTTTCTGGTACTCTCTGCTTTCAGCCAAGATCCATCTGATATCAGCAATGATATTCCTCCTTCCACATCTTCTTCTGAATCCAGCTTGAATTTCTGGCAGCTCCTTGTCAGTGTACTGTTGCAACCAGTTTTGAATGATCTGTAGCAAACTTTTACTTGTGTGTGATATTAATGATATTATTCGATAATATCTGCATTCTGCTGGATCTCTGCATCTGTTTGTTGAAACATCTCAATTAGTATTCCATCAATTCCTGGAGACTTGTTTTTGCCAATGCCTTCAGCACAGCTTGGACTTCTTCCATCAGTACTATTGGTTCTTGATGATATGCTACCTCCTGAAATGGCTGAACGTCAGCCAGTCACTTTTGATACAGTGACTCTTTACATTCCTTCCATCTTCTTTTGTTGCTTCCTGTGTTGTTCAACATTTTCCCTGTAGAATCCTTTGATACTGCAACTCGAGGCTTGAATTTTTAATTCAGTTCTTTCAGCTTGAGAAATGCTGAGTGTGTTCTTCTCTTTTGGTTTTCTAACTCCAGGTTCCTGTACATTTCATTTTAATACTTTGTCTTCTCGAGCTACCCTTTAAATTTTTCTGTTCAGCTCTTCTACTGCAACATTTCTTCCATTTGCTTTGGCTACTCTACGTTCAAGAGCCAAGTTTCAGAGTCTCTTCTGATACCCATTTTGTTTTTTTCTTTCTTTCCTATCTTTTTAATGGACTTTTGCTTTCTTCATGTATGATGTCCTCAATGTCAGTCCACAACTCCTCTAAGTCTTCGGTCATTAGTGTTCAATGTGTCAAACCTATTCTTAAGATGGTCTCTAAATTCAGGTGGGATATACTCAAGGTCGTATTTTGGCTCTCATGGATTATTCAAAGTAGCATGATACAAACATTCAAAGTAGCAAGACCATATAAAATATTTTAAAACTATAAGAACCTAAACAACCTGTTCGATTAACCACATGAAACATTTATTTTAAAGGAAATGTAGTACACCTAATTCCCACTCTCTGTAATAGGTCACAAAAGAGCTGTGTGCTCAAATCCAATATAAAATGAGTTCTCCTCCATCCAAATATGAAAAGTCTAATGAATTGGTGGAAGTTTGCACCTTATATGTAAGTATATACAAAAGAAATATTTTTGATGAGTTTTTTTAAAGCTTTTAAATAAATACAGAAATTTCAACTAACATGTAAAAAAGCTTCTAGAAAGGCATTCTATCTGGGCTAATTTTAAGGAACAGATTAGACTCATCTCTTAATTGGTAGCCTCCATTTCTAAAAATAAACAATGTATGTGATAAAACCCTTTTAAGACATTTTGTTCTCATATGTAGGTTAGACATCTCCTGATAATCTTGTTACCAATAATAACTTATCTTGCAAAACTTCCTGTTATAATTGTAGAAAGGTAAACTTAAGCCTAGCTCAGTTCAAATTATCACAGCTTAAAGAGCATAATCAAATGTCTTATGTTGTTTTATACGCAGAAAATGGTGTCCTTACATATGCATAAGTGACATAATTTAAAAATAGAGCCTAATGATACAAATAGCTATTTCCTCAGAGAAAACCGGGAAACAATAGATTTCCTGATAATTGGTGTGAGGAGGCAATCCTTCCAACAAGCCGGGCTATGGTCTTCCCCTCTCTTCCCCTGCTAGCATCTTGAGGCTTCAAAACAAACCACCCCCTTACCTCTCTGGCCTAATGGTTTGTCTAAATAAGCAGCAGGGTTTTCAGAGATAATACAATTCCAGGCTTGGCGCTCACATATCTAACCCACCACCTCTCCTTGGTGGTCAGGAAGGAAAATCTACATCACGCACTGTGCAGCGTGTGTGTGTGTCTGTGTGTGCACACACGTGTAGTATGTTACATAGGCTTTAGGGGTATAAAAATGGCTGGAGGAGGGACTTTCAGAGTCCCTCAGCTACGGTGCTCGGTGGAAGCACACATAGCAGAGTTTTCTCATCCCACCTAACTAAGCTTACCTAGCCGGGGAAGACTGGCTACAGGTAGGCCCCTTTTTAGTCCCTCGCCTATGGTACAAAGTGGAATACATGTAGAAGAGTCATCATCTCCACCTGGACAGCCCTCATTGAGTCATGGAGGGTACCGACTCATCAATGGATCTTCATTGCTCTGGTGTGCTGTCTGCTTCTTGTTGTAAGTAGTAAAATCTACTTTCCATGTGCATCTTGTGTGAGCCAGAGGCATGTTGTGTGTTCAGGCTCTGATAGGAAGGACATGATATTCACGGAGGAAACACTATTAATGATTGGTCCCTTTTTCTGGCTCTTTAGGGATCTGGGGCAACCTGTGAGTGCATCACAATTTGTTTTCTTAATAAACATGATCTTCCCCCATTTCATCACTTTATTACTTTTTCTACTGAACACTAAAATTAAGCCTCTATCTTAGAAATTTTAAATCCAAGAACCCTTTTGAATAGGTTTTTATTTTTTAATGCCATGAGAAAAAATGTTGACGACCATCAGAAGGAATTAATGGAAACTATTATATGCTCGTTGCAATGCCCAAAACTGCTCAAGAAAATAAAGTTTATTTAAAAAAAAAGAAAAACAGCTGAATTCTGGTAAGAACGGCAAAAAAAAAAAAAAAAAAGTTTTAATGCGATGATTGTCTTAGTACTTAAATGAAACCTACCATGCAAGAAAAACATTCAAACATTATCAATATAAACCTAGATTTTCTTTTAGTGAGTGCTGCGTTTAGTATGTATCAGTTGATACAACGGAGAAAAGTAAAAGCTAAATGGCTTTTTCCCCACAACAGCAGAGATGACTCTGCATCCAGCTCTCAGACTTACCTTACGGTAGAGTGTCCCTTTTCCTGAAACACGGGTTGCCTAATAACCATTGTGCACATACAGCATCGTGGGGAGGGGCTCAGTGCGTGTCCAGAGTACAGAGCCAGTGAGCTTTCTTAACCTGAAGTCAAGGAAAAATAACAATCAAAGGAAAATTCCTAAAAAGAATAAAGAATCATAGCTGCCTGCATAGTCTACCCTTTGGTGAGCTTAAATTTCAGCACTTTTCGAAACATCTAGAGCAGAAAAAGCTCAGGTTAATCTTCGAGAAAGTTATCTCATTACATATTTTAATCTTCAAGGTGTTTTTTTTTCCCTGAAAAGATGGCATTTTTAAAAGGGGTAACCAAGAAAAAACATGTGCATACTCTTGGAATTTAGGTACAAGTACAGACTCTTCTTTTTCCTCTATTCAGAATACATGTTTCCAGATCTGCTTCATTTGAACTACTTTTTAACTACCAGTTAATCCATGGTCTTCCTAAATAGGACTAAAGTGAGAATATGCGTACTCATTTACGGCGGCCAGATCCAAAGTGTAATCTACAACGACTAAAAAGAGATTATATCTTAAACGGCTGGTTCTTCATATGCCTTAAAAGCCTCACGTTACTCACTTTGAAATTACTGTTCCTTTACGTATACACCAAAGCTCCTGAGTGGTGCAAACTGTTTACACTAGACTACTAACCGAACGGTTGGCGGTTCAAACCCATGCAGAGGCGCAACGGAAGAAAGACCTGGTGATCCGCTTCCATAAAGATTACAGTCAAGAAAACCCTATGCAGCAGTTCTACTCTGTAATACCTGGTGTTGCCATAAGTCAGAATTGACTTGATGGCAACACGTTTGGTATTTTTTGGTTTTTACGTATACATCAAGTCAGGTAAAACATTAACAGCAGTTGTGTCAGCTCCCCCATATGAGTTCTGAAAGAACACTTTATACAACTAAAAGAAAAAGGATCTTTTGGTCAATTAATTCCTAGCTCTGTGAATTCCATTAAGGATAAGGACCCATGGAACGAAATTGATTTCTACACAATACATCAGAATCAATCTAAGAATTACTTACTGGGAGAGCTGTTGCCCATCCCTGTGGTTGTGGGTGTGCCAAGCCCTCCACCACTTAAACTTTCTGACAAGGAAAGACTGGTCTACCTGGCAACCTGATGTGCTGTGGGCAAAAGCAGTAATTGTAGTTGTTACTGGTTGCACACCACGCTTTTCAACCAATCCAAATCAGTACAGTCCATTTGTACTCTTTCTTCTTGTCACACCTTATTTTTCCTTGTCAAACTTCTCCAAAGAAGGTCAAAGACTTTGCCAACTTTCACTTGGAAATAAAACCTGATTTAAAACTATGCCTACTATTTCTAAATAGAACAAATAATTTCTATTATTTCTAATAAATGACACGATAAGAATGCCTCCTATAAGGCAAGCTGTAAAAAACGCACTTCCTTACAGAAATGCTGACTCTAAGACTAGGGCAGGAAATACACAAGATGAGCTTGGAGTACGTTATAGTGCCAAAAAGTATAAGAAAGTGCACAAGTAAAAGCACAATGATGGGGTACATCAAAACGCCAAACTAGAACAACTTGAGCAACTAAATAAAGATGTATTGGATTATAAGTCAATATATAAAAATAAATACCAGCAAGTCCATATTGATACAATTAAATTGAATCCATTTATTTTGATAGAATAGGTAAATAAACAGGGAAAAAGAGACAAATCTTCCATGCAGAGGCATTTCAAGTAACTTTGATGTCTCTATTCATCCCTCAAGGAGATGGAGCGTAACTCCCCACTCCTTAAGTGTGGACCGTGCGTAGGGACGTCACTCCAAAGAGTGAAAGAAAGGGGAGAAAAAGAGTAACTTTACAATGGAGAAACCAGACAAACACTGCCTCAGCCAGGTGACCAAGGTCGACATCTACAGTGGTACGTCACATTGATAGTATGATGTAAGAATGACAATTTATCTCTATGGACTTTCTCCCCAAAACCCATAACCTCAGCCTAATCATTAGATTAACATCAGACAAATTCCAATTGAGGGACTTCTACAAAATACTTGACAAGTACACCGCTGAAAACTGTCAAGGTCATCGAAAACAAGGAAGTCTGAGAAACTGTCACTGCCAACAGGATCCTAAGGAGACATGACAACTGAATGTAATCGGGTATGCTGGATGGGATCCTGGAACAGAAGAAGGGCAGTAGGTAATAAAAACTACAGAAATCTGACAAAACAGTAGCCTTTACTTAATAATTATTAATATTGGTTCATAATTGTGACAAACGTACCATACTATTGAAGGTACTAATAACAGAAGAAAAACTGGGCATGGGGTATATGGGAACTCTCTGTACTGCCTTATTTTTCTAAAAATCTAAAACTATACTAAAAGTTTATTTTAAAAATGCAGAACAATGCCTCCAATGGTGAGCCTCAAGCATGTCCACCAGAATATCTGGTCATCTTTCACATGGGCTTTGTCACAGATTGAACTGTGTCCCCCAAAAGTATGTGTTAACTTGGTTAGGCCATGATTCCCAGTATTGTATGGTTGTCCTCCATTTTGTGATTGTAATTTTCCTATGTGTTGTAAATCCTAATCTCTGCCTATGGTTAATGAGGCAAGATTGGATTATGTTGAAGAGGATTAGGGTGGAATTGTTTAACACCCTTACTAAGATCACATCCCTGATCCAAAAAGTGAGTTTCCCAGGGGTGTGGCCTGCACCACTTTTTATCTTACAAGAGATAAAAGGAAAAGAAACGGGAAAGGGGGACTTTATAACACCAAGAAAGCAGCACCAGGAGCAAAGCACGTCCTTTGGACCTGGGGTCCCTATGCCTAAGAAGCACCTAGTCCAGGGGAAGATTGATGACAAGGACCTTCCTCCAGAGCCAACAGAGAAAGCCTTCCCCTAGAGCTGACACCCTGAATTTGGACTTCTAGCCAACTAGACTGTGATAGAATAAATTTCTCTTTGTTAAAGCCATCCACATGTGGTATTTCTGTTACAGCAGCACTAGATGACTAAGGCAAGCTACATCCACATTTCAAGAATTAACATTACTGGATGTTACTTCTAAGTGTGTCCTCAGCACCCCGTCTCCCAAGAGAAGTGGAAATGACCCAACATGGTTTCAAGCCTGTAAAAAGCTGTGTTGTTTTTGGTTCCATCTATCCAACCACTTCCATGGAGGGCTGTGGGGGTGAAAAGGAGGAGGACATGAGAGTTGGGGGTTGAGGAGGATATAAACTGATTAATAACATCAAAGCACTTATTGATGAAGATCAAAGACTACATAGCCTTCAGTATGGATTACACCTCGATTTAAGAAAACAAAAATCCTCACAACTGGACCAATAAGCAACATCAGGATAAACGGAGAAAATATTGAAGTTGTCAAGGATTTCATTTTACTTGGATCTACAATCAACGATCAACGGCCATGAAAGCAGCAGTCAAGAAATCAAACAATGTATTGCATGGGCAAATCTGCTGCAGAAGACCTCTTTAAAGTGTTAAAAAGCAAAGATGTCACTTGGAGGACTAAGGTATGCCTGACACAAGTCATGGTATTTTCACTCGCCTCATAGGCATGCAAAAGCTGGAAAATGAATAAGGAAGACTAAGAAGAATTGATGCCTTTGAATTATGGTGTCGGTGAAAAATACTGAAAAATACATGGACTGCTAGAAGAATGAACAAATCTTTCTCGGAAGAAATAACAGCCAGAATGCTCCTTAGAAGCGAGGATGGCAAGACTTTTGTCTCACGTACTTTGGACGTGTTATCAGGAGGGAGCAGTCCGTGAAGAAGGACATCATGCTTGGTAAAGTGGAGGTTCAGCGAAAAAGAGGAAGACCCTCAACAAGACGGACTGACGCAGTAGCTGCTACAATAGGACTTAAACATAGGAACGACTGTGAGGATGGCCCAAGACCAGACAGTGTTTGGTTCTGTTGTACGTAAGGATCACTATGCGTCAGAACTGACTCAACAGTACCTAACAACAACAACCAATATTAAGGGAGGCTTTCTCTTAAAGATAAAGTGACTAAATTATTTCTTCCCACAAGAAAGACACACAGTCTTAACTTGTGATAATTCCTTATGTGCTACTTCAATCAAACAAATGTCTACTCAACATCTGACAGGTGTTTGGCATAGTGTTAGGCCTAGGCACAGGAACTATCACTGGGAAATATTTTAATAAAACTTCTGCAAACTTAAATCAAGTAATTCTAGAAATTTTAAGATTATTTTTCCTTGTTATGACAATACTAGGCACTATAAGTAATAACCATAAATTTAAACCAAAGAAGCCTTCTTTACACGTGCCTGTTACATCAATCTTCACCGGAAAAAAACATAACACACATGTAGCATACACACGATCACTGGAAGCTGCAATACCTTTAATCATGAGGGACAATGATTCCTTACCAAAATATCTTGATAGTCCGGAGCATCTGACGTGTAATTAATTTTCTTTTCGTATTATTTTATGATAGCTGCACCTAGTTAGAGTATAGCTGTTTGTACGTATAAATAAAGGTAGGGGGACAACTCACTGAATTAAAAAGTAAATACAATGCCCTGCAGTGGTAAAGGTGCCTATTAATAACCACAGGCAAGTCCAGATATGAGAATGGAAAAAAGTCTATTTCCCCTCAGGACGTGCAAGTCTAAAATCTGATAGCTCATGAGAGTCACCTATAGTAAATACACAATAAATAAAGGACTATGGTGATGGAGGTAATTTTCTAAATATTATATGTTCATCCTAAGCTGTTTTAAAATAATGATGACTTGTGGACTCAGAACTCCTGATACTCTGAGGGTGGAATCTTTACAAATTCCACCCCAGGTTACACAGTCAAGAAACACACACACACAAGTGAGATTTCACAATTATATCAAAATGAACCATTTCCCCAATGTGTATTACTTTTATGTGGGAAACCTTTTTGCCTAATGTTAATACTGCATTTAAATTTTACTCATTTATGTTTTCCACACTATATGGAGTCAAAAGAAAACAATCTAGGCTTCCAAGCTTCTATACTGTTGACCATATTAGAAATCATAAACTTATATAAATTAAATTAAACCCCTAGTTTAAAAGTATAGTTTCCCTATAGATGCCAAGTGAACTTCATTTAGTTAAAACACGAACTTCTTGCTTCACATAATTAAAAAAGTCTGTATTCTTAGAGTGAAGAATAAAATAACCATACAACAAAACATATTTAAGATCTGTCCAAAATTATATATCTTCACCAAATCTGGCTACATGTTCCCAATTTCCTTTAGCATAAATGATTAGTCATTAATGGCTTTTTGCATTAAGGGATGCAAGTCAGAACTGAGTTTCTGATTTCACACACTAGAAACAAGGTAACAGCTTGCTACTCAAAAAAGAAACAGCATTTCCTTGCAAGGTAAACAAAGATCCAGGATGGCAAGAAAATAAAATCAGCAGCCCCAATGGTATCAGCTCTGAGAAAAAAATCCACCAAATGCCCAAAAGACGTAAGAGGAAAGACGGGTGCAGAAACACTGTAAGACCCAATCAGAGTGTGCAATATTGCTGACATGTATGCTGATGAGCTCTACTTGTATGATCAAGACCTTCTAGGCTAGAATAAATGTAGAGGCGTTATTTAGTATCACTCAACAAAAACATTTACCTGAGAAGGCTTAAATGGAAAATATGTATTTCATTTTTTCCTTAAAGCATACTTCAAATATTTTAGCAGTTTTTAAAAGTCCTAAAGTAATCATTAGCTATCTCTCGGTGATTTCCATATTTAAATAATAAAAACTAGCCTTGTACTTTTTATAGACTCCTGACTAGCTTTTACTGAAATGAAGTTGTCAATTACCTTTGATTCCTTATATATACATACAAAAGCTGTCCTAAATTTTTACTGTGGAACAGTCATCTGTAGATACTGATTCTAAATCCTATTCAGTAGAATATACTCCCTGCTTTGGTGTCAGTTCCAGGTCTGAAGACTATGTCAACCCTCAGAAACCCCTTAAAAGTATCTTTAACTATGTTATGACAAATAAAAGGATCAATAAAGACATCACTTTCTTTTTGTGAAAGGCAGAAAGTCCAGTGGATCTGAGCAAAGATTTCTTGACAACTTCTATTTTTAAAGCTCCTTTGTCCTAAAATGTCCCAAACAATCTGAGATATTAAAATAACTCAGAGATTAATAAGTCACTTTATAGTCTGCTATCACTGAATATTAGAAGACTAACACATCTGGCCAATTTCTGAATTAACTCTTGATGTGTAATTTCCTTCCTTGTGTCCTCTCTTTAGGAATTACATTAATGTTCTAAACTTACCTTTAGTGCATTTTCAGAAGCAGCAACAAAATACAGCAGAAAAGTAACAACGCAAATTAGGTGCTTAAATTTCAATCTATACACCAGTGTTCACTGCAGCACTTCACCAACAGTCAAAAGGTGCCCAAGCGTCCATCAACAGAGGAATGGATGAACAAAATGTGGTACATACATACAATGGAATATTACTCAGCCATAAAGACAAATGAAGTTCAGATGCATGCCACAACATGGATGAACCTTGAAAACATGCTGAGTGAAAAAAATCTATATGGTCATACAAGTACTATATGATCTCACTTATGTGAAATAATGAAATATATAGAAACCAAAGATCATTGGTTACCAGGAGTGGGAGGGAGGGAGGGAGAAAGCGAGAGACTTTACATTGAGTTTATGTTAATGGTGGTGGAATCCTTTGGAATAGGATAGCAATAATGATGGCACAAGAGGAATAAAGGAATCAATGTCATTCAATTGTAAATATGAAAGTTGTATTGGAGAATGTTTTGATGTGTATATTTTCTCCACAATTAAAAAATAATTCCATCCAGCAAATTCTCCGTAAGCATTTTGTAATGAGAAATCTTATTCATGAAGATTTCCAAAATTCAACCCCAAATTTCCAAACATACTAAAGCATCCCTTTGTTTTTAAGTTCCTGTGTGAAATAATCACTAGAAAAATGTACTGTAAATTTGTATAAGTTTTTCTAGAAAATCTGAAGTGTAACAAGTAATATTTATCTTCTTATAATAGTTTCAGAGCCCATTCACATCTGCCACACACAAAAAACACAAAATCCCAAAGTTGGTTTACATTAAGTGCTTGACGGGCAGATACTGCCTTCTTACCATTCCTACTATTAAGATATACAAATCTACTTTTGACAGGAGAAAAAAAATCATATTGTCTGAAACTCATAAATTTCAACCCATTGCTTTGCCTTCCTCTACCAACTCTTGTCAGTAAGGTAAGGCAATAGATTTTCTAATGGAGGCAGAGGCAAAGGGACTGGGGGCGGGGGGTAGTAAATGGTGGTTTAATTAAAAAAGCAGTGTCATTCAAAATTAACAAGCAATTAACAAAGAATTGTGGAATTCCTATGAGAGAAACGGAGGGTGGGGGAGGAGGAGCTATAAAAAAAGGTCTCAAAGCGTCAGAGCAAGGTAAATGGCATAGTGTCCCAAAAGAATGCAAAACACGGAAACACTGTACAGAAAGAAGGGGAGGAAATACTGTCTCTTGGGTGGAGAAATCATTCAGTGGCACAGGCAGTGTTTTTGTTTTTGCTCAAAAACTTGGGGCTAGGAAAGGGTGCATTCCCAGGCAACCATCCTCAAAATAAAACATTGCCTAATGAGGTAGGGGCCAGGAATAAACAATGGGGGAGGGCAGGGCGGTGCTCATTACCTTTCTAGAGGATGCTGGTCAGAGGTACTCCGCCTGCTTCTTCTCTGTCGGGCGAGCAGAACCCTTCCTGCTCTCTCGTCTCCTCCAGCCAGCTCAACACTGGAAAACAGAAAAAAGTGAGTGGTGCAGTGCCCCAGGAGCGAGGAGGAGGGAGCTCTGAGGACGGGGAGCAAAGGAAGGGGCTGGAGAGTGGTAAGGACAGGTAGGAAGGGGCAGTGATTCTTCTCCTTTCCACCCTCCGAGTCAGTCCCTTCCTCTCGAGGGAGGTTACTGACTTTACCTGTCTCCTCAGCTGCTGCTTCTCTTCCTCCTTTCAGCCTCCTCCACACTCACCAACTTCTCCATTGAAGAAACACCCCAAGCAGGGCCGGACACGGGTGTTCCTGATCCTCCTCGGCGCCTCACGGCCCCAGCCCAGAGAGCATCCACACAGCCGAGCAGACGGGGGGCGGCGGTCCCGGTCGCTGGGCAGCCTCGGGGCAGGGGTGCAGGGAGGAAGTCCCGGCTCCGGGGGGGGGGCAGTCCCGGTACGGGGGCTCGGAGCAGAGGACTGCCGCGCTCCGGGCCGGAGGCTCCCAGCTACGAGGGGACCCAGGCGGTCTCGGAACAGCGAGGTCCCGGGTCATACAGGGTCCGAAGTGCCAGCCGCGGGGACTCCGGGCAGGGGGCTTTCAAGATGCACTTTGCACTGAGCCACCCCCGCCCCCTCCCTCTAGCACTTTGGGGTCACTGGGATGGGACCAAGCCTTCAGCAGCCAATCAGCGGCCGCACTGGAGCCTGAGCCAGGAGCCGTAAACCAAGTCCGAGGTGGGTGGGGGTGGGGGGGTGGGGGCGACTTGGTTGGTTGGTTGCTTCCTTTTCACCTCCTATCCCCCAGCAGCCCCCACCCCCTGACTGCCGTAAAGCCGCCTGCGCATTCGCGACAGCTAGAGGAGGCGTGCCCATCGCGGCTGGGACTGGTCTCCGATTGGCCTCATTCACTCTCCCCTCGGCTTCCCCCCTTGTGGCTTCCGAGGCTCCGCCCCTGGCAGAGGGACTCCGAGCAGTTGCTAAGAGACACCGTACGCCGAACGGGGCCACTGCGCATGCGGAAGGAGGAGACTAGTTTGCACTCTCCGTGAACTACGGTGCCCCGGAGGGGGCAGGTGATCTCTCTCTGGCGGTGCCAAAGCGGGGTGGCCTTAGCCAGGTCTCTGGCAGGTAACCGGGAGTCGCTGCTGATCTCAGAGGCAGGCGAGGCGAGTGTGCAGACCGGTCCCGGACTTAAGGTTGGAGAGGCTGCAAGAGGCGTGAAGGTGCCCTGTACCGCAGCCGCTTCTCGGAGGCGAGTGCCGGGTCCTTCTGCGCGTCTGTCGGTCCCTGCGGCCCCACTAGCGACCAGACTGGGGATGCCTCACCTGGCGTGCAAGAGAGGGCTCTTTTATGAAGGTGATACCGGTTCAAGGGCTTCGCTGCAAGGATAGCGACTTTCACAGATTTGTATGAATGAAGGTAAAGGGGGAGTGGGAAAATGAGAGATGAGAACGTACTCACATAGGATTATTAAGTGCATTTATTCATTTAAAAAGTATTGACTGACCGGACACTGTTTGGAGCGTTGGGAAGACAACAGTGAGCAAGAGAGATGCAATCATTTGTCCTTACGGAGCTTTCACTTTAACGGGGACGAGACATTATCAGATAGGAGTAGGTTATATGAAGAAAATAAAGCTGCGTAATGGGTAGGGTTTGACTAGGAGATGATGGGCTATTTTAAATAGGTTGTCAAGAAAGGCTTCTGAGAAAGTAACATTTGAACAGCGATGAGGAGCCAGCCGTGCCAAGGTCTGGCGAAAGGCTTTTCCAGGCAGAATCAAAAGTGCAAAGGCTCTGATGCTGGAATAAGCTTGGCAGCTTACAGGAACTGCAAAAAAGAAGGCCAGCATGGCTGAAGCCTAGTGAGTAAGGGGGAGAATGATTGGCAGTGAGGTTGGCGGATGTGGGCAGACTGCAGATCTGGTAGGACCCTTGTAAGCCGTGGTGTAACAGTTATAGTATCTAGTTTGTGTTTTGGAAAGGTCGCCATTGGCTGCTCCTGGAGAAGACTATAGGAGGAGAGGGAGGCTAATGCAAATGTGGAAGGCTATCTTAGTTATCTAGTACTGCTATAACAGAAATACCACAAGTGGGTGGCTTTAACAAACAGAAATTTATTTTCACACAGTTTAGGAGGTTAGAAGTACAAATTCAGGGTACGGGCTTTTGGGAAAGGCTTTGTCTTTCAGCTCTGGAGGAAGATCCTTGTCTCTTCTGAGCTTCTGCTCCTGGGCAGTCTTCCTGTGGCTCAATGTCTCTCTTCCCCCATCTCTGCTTCCTTAATCTCCTTTTATATTTTGTAAGAGATTGACTCAAGACACACCCTACACTACTCCTGTCATTAACATAACAAAGACAGCCCATTCCTAAATAGCATTATAACCACAGGCATAGAGGTTAGGATTTACAGCACATATTCTGGGGGGAAACAATTCAATCCATAACAAAGGCTATCCTAGTAATCCAGGCAACAGGTGACATTTTCTTGCACTATGTTGCCCGATAGGCCAGACATTTGGCTACCACCATTGTCCTTGAAACCCATTGCCGTTGAGTCAATTCTGACTCATAGTGACCCTGCAGGAAGAGTAGAACTGCCCCATGGTGTTTCCAAGGAGCGGCTGGTGGATTCTAAATGCTGACCTTTTGGTTAGCAGCCGAGCCCTTAACTACTATGCCACCAGTTCTCCATTGTCCTCAAAGGCCTACCTAATTGTATATAAAGGAAGTATTGCAATGTATCAACTATTTTTATTAATAAAGTATATTAAGAAGTTTTTGGGGGGGTCAGAAGTGTTCAATTTACCTCAGATATTTTCCTTTTCACTATTATTCTTTTATTCAAGTTTGATGCCTTCCACATGGAGGCAAACTGGGCTCAGTCCTGTCCACGGGAGCTCAAAGTAGAGTGTGGGGGCACCAAACTAGAAAATAGTTGAGGTTAATGCTATGAGGTAAGTACTCTGATAGACACTGAAGGAGCACTTGGCAGGGCCCCCTAAACCATATTTGGTTTTATGGAAGGCTTCCCGGGGCTGGAAGTTTAAGGCCAGGACAAAAGTTGAAGTCTGAAGGAAGGAGGAAGGTTGACCGTGATTTAGTCAGGAAGAATGGTCTGGGCAAAGGCTGGGGTCCTTAAAGTGCACAGTTTACAAAGACCTCAGACAAAGTTTAGAGCTTAGTTTGTGAAGGGCACAGAATTGAGAAGACCCCGAGAGTCAGCGGTCTAGTAAGCTATGTTTAGTGGATTGGACTTTATCCTAAGGAAAGTGGAGAGGTTTTTCAGAAGAAAGTAGTTTTAGCATGGGACAAGAAACAACCACTTAGGAATCTGCTGCAGTTGTCCAGGGCAGATGTGATATATTGCAGTAGTGGCAGTGAGGATGGAGAGAAGTGGGATAAGGAGGGGTCCATGAAGATGCACAGGTTTCTAGATGGGTAACTAGGTAATAGGGATCCTACAGATGCAGGAGAAAGCAAGTTTGAGGGGGGATAGAATGAATTGATTTGTGCAGAAGGTGTCTTTGGGACCTCCAAGTGGCACTTTCCAGGAGGCAATCAGATACTTGAATGTGGAGCCCAGAAGAGAGCTAGGCCATAATTGTGGACTCTGGGGTCATTACCATGGACGTAGAGATGGAAGAAATGGAGAGTTCATGAAATTGTCCTAAGGAGAGAGAGGATATAGAGGACTGAACACTTCAAGGTCCCAACATTTAAGAGACTGACCAAGGAAGAGGATCCAGCAGGGGTGACTCCAGAGAGGGAGAAGGAACACCTAGAGAGATTGGTTTGTCCAGGATTACTGTGTATTCAGAAAAAGGCAGAAATATTTTTAATGGGAGGACTATACAAATACCTGTAATAACACATACTTACTTTTCATTTAAGACTTTGCTCCTTTGACTAGCAGTTCTACTGATGAAATTGTAAATGGAAGCCCCTTTCAGGGAAAAACAAAAACAAAAAAAACTTGTAGGGGGAAGGGAGTGAAAAAGTGCATTTTACAGTCTCACTCATGATAGAAAAGACATTTGAACAGTATAGATTAACGAATACATTAATATTCATCTTCTTGTAAGCCCCAAAGATGTCTTTCCCTTGCTCTGTATAAAGCTTTTCTGAAAATAAAAATGCTTAAAAAAAATCCTTAGTAAACATTTGCTTGGATTGGAAAAAATAAAAGTTTTGTTTCATTCAGAGTCAGATTGCAGATCACGCAAGAAAAGTTATTAATCGCTTCTGGCTGTTTCTAGAAACTAAAACCACCTAGAAAGTATAATTATGTCACTTTCGATTCAAAAGAATATATGCTAGGCTCTGAAAGCGGTTTCAAACAAAGGCTTTGAACCAGTTCGTCATGGCTGACAGCAAAACCTGAATGGTCCCGAATTTTTTAAACGTGAGTGAACCTAAATGGGAAAAATTACTGATCGAAGCCCTGGTAGAAACTTAATCTCCCTCTTAGAAAACAAGGGCAGCCTGCATGTTGCATAGCAACCAAATCTCTTGACAGGCTGTGTTGGAAGCAGCTGTGCCCCACTCAAAGATGGTGGCCGCTCAAAGACTGTGCAGCTTTGAATGTGTGTCATTCTTCACAGTCCTGGCAATAGTCCAGTCTCCTGCATCAGGCTCCTGAAAGAGCTCACTATGCCACTTCTGAGTCTCCCAATCCAGAGCTTTGACCTGTAATTTTTCACGTTCCAGTTATTGTTCTGCTTCGCCCAAATTGTAAAACTTAAAAAATTTGGGTCTGTTCCAATTTTGCTTTCATTGGCCGTGACTGAGCTGGTTCGAAGTCCTGGTTTCAAAACAAATTTCAACAAGAGTTTGGAATAATGGTACTTTATTTGGAATAAAGTGATGATGGTGGATGGTTACTGTGTCGAGTTGATTCCAATTTGTGGGGACCACGTGTATGCAGAGTAGAACTGCTCCGTAGGATTTTCAATGGCACATCGCCAGGCCTGTCCTCCTAGGCGCCTCCGAGTGGGCTCAATCTACCAAAACCATTTGTGCCAGCCAGGGAACTCCTGAAATAAAGTAATTCTTCCTAAAGAAACTGTTTTGAAAGCGACCACATATTTTGGGTATACAGTTGGCAATTTTTAAAAAATTAACTATTTTTAACCTATTATACCTCTAAGCAACCATATTTCATATTAATTTCTAGATTTCCCTTTTTTGTTGAAGTACCTAGCAGAATTATAATAGAAACTAGTTATATTCAGCAACATTAGATGGTATGATCTTTCCACTTTGCCATAATTTCTCCCTAGTTGATTATAAAAACGATAATATCCCAAAGTTTGAAAAACACTTGTAATGCTACAGTGACCACCTTCTTTTGCACATTCATTTTTGTCTTTAAATACATTTCACAGAGGTATAACCATAATTGTAGTATAAATTTCTGGACTTAACTTGTAATTTCTACCTAAAATAATATTTACTTCTTGGAAACCTTGATCACTGTATCATATCTCCATTACTCTGAGGGTTATGGAATTTCAGAATTGCAGGAGGCTTTAGAAGTCATCTAGTCCAGTGATTTTCAAATTTTCTTAGCAATGGGACTCCACTGTAAAACAAAAAAAAAAAAAAAGAATTAAAAGTGGTTTTTCATCAGTATGAATTCAATTCACAAATTCCTTTTTATAACATTTACTGATTATATAATCAGCTGTTACGAACTGCAAAAAGAACAAAAGAGGGAGATAGAGAAATTGATCAGTCAATTGTTGTGGACAACATTTTCAGTCTTATTGTAGCCTCAGCACCCGTGAAAATTTAGATCAGATGTTTGCCAAATGCAGATTCAACCCAGAGACTGAGGTCTAAGAGCTTCGAGGGAACTGATAACTGAGTTGTCTAATTCCCAGCTCTTGAATATCTCTGACCATTTCTGTGTTTTTCACTTAAAATCCTTTGTTCAAGTTACAATTTTTTAAATGATTGAGAGATATAACCTAGAAACATATTGCCAAAATTTCACAGATTGTGCTACTAGATAGATAATTCTAAAATGCCTTATTAAATTGGTGCTATCAAATTTGATAGTTCTTAAATTCTAACTTTTCATTGTTTAAGAGAAGCTTAGATTGCAGGGTTTTTTTTATTTTAACACATTAAGATTGATTAGGTTTTAACATACTTCATTTTCCATTCACTTAGGTAAATATCAAATTCACAAAAATGGAAACACTAGTTTTACAACATAGGCACTAAGTAATTCACGATAAACATTTGTGATGTTTTAGTTCATGAAATCCTACCTCAACCAGGATTGAGTTTATTCCCTGAATAAAAAGACTTTATTGCTGAAAAAATGCCCAAGTCCCTCCCTAGTAATTCTGATTCCGTTGGTCTCCAGGGGGACCAGAGCACAATGATTTTTCCTAGTGCCCAGTGTTTTG